CCGTAAAGACAGGAATCTTTGACCATTTCACATCCTAGTATATATTACTATCTAGAAGACTGTATATAGACTGCTTTCAATGTGTAATTAAACATATAATATAGAGTATATAATTTAGCATAATTAATCATGTGACTATCTAAATTTTAATTTAAATTAATATGACAATTAAAGACATCAATGACCTTAGCACATTTTTAGTGCTCACTAGCCATACAAAAGCTGTCACAGTGTATGGTACAATCATAAATAATTTCTATAATTTGATAAAGACCTCCTGGACTTTTCTAATTTAGAAGATTCATAAATAGAGTAATAAAGAGGAAAAGTAGACGATGTATGACAAAATTGCCATGCCAGGGAGCACCTGTGATGTAAATCCATAAAGAATTGTACTCACTGACCATTAAACAATTTCCAAGCTAATGAATTTGTCATTTAAAAGTTAAAAGCTAAAATATCATGTAAAGATCTAAGAGAATCCTGAAAGGTCATGTTATCTTTGAATCATTAAAAATACCAAGTTTAGAGATATTTTTGATAAAGTATAAATATGAAATTGATTCTATATCAAATAAATGTAGAGAAAAGAATAACATGGTAATAACATGGAAATTAGTAAGCCTTGGTCCTTAGCTTAATACTTAGTATGTTTATTATACTGTAGCATTAGTTTTAAATGTAGTAAAGAGTTCTACTTCTTATTATTATAATAAAAATAACTTCGTAAAAATAAGAGAAACAGGAAACAAAGAAAAAAGATCAAAATTTTCTAAAAAATATAGAAAATCAATTTCATTAACACTGGATAATTATTGTAACCCTGAACTACAACATACAAACACGGAGATCTGCGGGAAGAATGCAACATGGCACAATAACACCACTTTATTTACTTTCCATTATAAGTAAGCACATAAAGATTACTAGGTCTTTGAGGAAACCTACAACAATGTCAATCTGGAGACTAAGGTGTACCTGATCCAGGCTATGGTCTTCACAATTACTTGCTATGCATCAGAAAGCTGAACAATGACTAAGGATCCTAGAAGAAGAATTGATGCCTTTGAACTGTGATGCTAGAGAAGCGTATTGAATATACCGTGGATTGCCAGGAGAACAAACAGGTTCTACCTGGAGAGGATGAAATCAGGCTGCTCCTTGGAGGCATGGATTTGGAAACTTCATCTGACATACTTTGGGCATATTACAAGAAGGAACCAGTTCTTGGAAAGGGACATCATGCTTGGGAAGGTACAGCACAAGAGAGGAAGACCCTGGAGGAGATGGAGTGACTCAGTGACTGGGGTAATGACAGCAGGTGTGTCAGAGACAATAAAGTTGGCTCAGGATAGAGCAGGGTTCAGAGCTGTTGTACATAGGTTTTCTCTGTGGGCTGCAAGTGAATCAACAGCACATAAAAATAACAACAACATGTCCAAAGTATGAGGTGAAGCTTTGTCATCTTTGCCTCCAAGGTATACTCAACTGTCTATCTCCTATGTTGTTGTTGCTATGTGCCGTCAAGTCACTTATGACTCATAGCAACCTTATGAACTCTATCCTGATCCAATCTCATAGTCTCCAACATATCTGCCTCCATTACCACAGTCACTTTGTCAATTCCTCTCATCCAGGGTCTTCCTCTCTGTGTTGACCCTCTACCCTTCCAAGCATGACATCCTTCTCTAAGGTCTGCTTCCTCCTGACAACGTGCTCAATGTATATGAGACCGATTTTCAAAACATTGCTTCCAAGCAGCAACAGTCTCTCCAGAACAGATATGTTTGTTCTCTAGGCACTTCATGGTATGTTCAATACTCTTCTCCAAAACCACAACTCAAAGGCATTGATTCCTACTTCTGTCATCCTTAGTCATTATCTAGCTCTCAGACTCATAGCAAGTAATTGTGAAGACCATTGCCTGGATTGTACACACCTTTTCTCTAGACTGACATCATTTCTCATCAGCACTCTGGAGAAGTCCCTCATAGAAGACTTTCCAAATGGAATTCATCTTTGATTTCCTGTCTGCTGGTGTGAGAAAGTGTTGATTGTGTAACTGAGCAAGATGACACTTTTAACAATCTGAATTTCTTCTCCATCTGTCTTGATGCTGCTAATTGTCCTGGAGGTGAGAATCTTTGTTTTCTTGATGTTGAGCTGCAATTCATTTTAATAACTGTGGTCCTTTACTTTCTGCAGCAAATGCTTCAGGTTCTCCTCAGTTTTGACAAGGTTGTATCATTTGCATAGCATCTCATATAGAGAGGCTCTTTTGTGAAATATCTTCTTATGTCTGATATTTTATCTCTGTTATATGTCCTATCATTTCCCTAAGATGCCATCTAAAAACTTAAGCTGAAAAAGGATTTGAAATTGCTTAAAATGTGGTATTTATTTGTATAATGTTTATATACTGAGTGCTACCACAACTAATATATCAGTTTGATATAATATACTGTGACAATTTGTAAATTGCTGTTCTGTCAGAAGCTATTTGGATGCCATGTTAAATATAAACAGACTTAATAATGGTGGACAGTTTTGAGACTAAGATAGACTAAGGAAGAAGGATCCAGCAATCTACTCTAAAAAAAATTAATCGATGAATAACTTAACCATAGCAATGCAACATTATCTGATATTGTATTGGAGGATGAGTCCCTCAGGTTAGGCCATCATGTTCATGGAGTTGATTCTGATAGGGTAGAACTCCTTCATAGATTTATCAAGCGTGTAAATCTTTATAGAATGAGACTGATTCACTTTTCTTGCATGAGTGGATGACAGATCCCACCTTTTGGTTATAGCTTAACAATGCCTTAATACTATACTATTGGAGCTTCTTCCTCAGTTTGACAAGAATTCAAAGTACAGTCAAAGAATTGCCTTTTTTGAAATAAAACCAACTTTAATGACATAGATGAAATAAAGGTTTCTGAACATTCACGTGTTGATGTGGTAAAAATGAGAAGAAACAATTTTAAATATCTACTTAATAATCAGAAAAAGGTATATTCAAATATGAATCTAGGAAAATGTAAAGTCCTTAAAAATAAATTGAATTGCTTGAAGATACATGTTGTAGGCATTAGTGCATTTAAGTGGACTGATATTGACCATTTTGAATGAAACAATCATGTTTTCTAGTCTTTGAATGATAATTTCAACAGGAATAGTATTGCATTCATTGTTTAAAAGAACATTTCAAGATTAACTCAAAAGTACAATGCTTTCTGTGATAGGATAAAATCCATAAGCCTACAATTAACAAGATTATCACTTAAAATTATGCACAATCAAAAATGTAACAGATGAAAAAATTAAGGATCATTTTAAATTTCTACAGTCTGAAATTGGCTTACATTGATAACTACTGATGATTGGAAAGCATAAGTTGAAAACAAGGAAAGGAGAATCACTCATAAGAAGAAATGGGTTTGGTGATAAGAATTATGCTGAATGTCATAACATTTCTAAAGACCAACAGGCTATTCATTGAAAATTTCTTTGTTTAACATCCTTTAGAAACATATGATGGAGTTCAATGTCGCCGATAAGAACAAAGTCAACATTAAACTGCAAAACAAACCATCAATTACATCTAAGTGCGAGTTAGAGACTAAATCAAGAATACATTTGAAACATTGACCACTACTGATTACTAAATATACAATAACATCAAGGACATCATAGATTAAGTAAGCAAAATGTCATTAAAATGACAAATACAAAAACTTAGTAGATATCAGAAGAGACTCTGAAACTTTTCTTGAACATAAAATAGTTAAAGAGAATGGAAAAAATGAAGTGAAAAGCTGAACTGAGTATTATTTCATAGGGCAATTCAGGAAGACAAAGTAAAAATACTATATTGAACTATACAATAGTATGGTATTAGAAAAGCAAAAGGAAATCATATAATGAAAACATTTTTTAACTTTATTCTTTCTGTTTAAAGTACAGTTTTACTTTTGAAATATAAACAAACCTGAATAGGCATTCATGTCATTAAAAGCTAAATAAGCTTTCATTCACTGTTCCTAAAAATAAATTGTTCAGTCAGAATCATTTTCATGCCAGATAATTTGTGGACAAAGACAATAATAAAAATATAAAAAACGTCAAGTAAGGATTCATAGAAGAATGTATAATCTAAGCTGTTCCATTGTGTAACACTCTGTGAAAATGGATGACAAAGACATATATTACCTTTTTAGGTCTTTCAAAATACTTTCTTTTTAAGTAAATGAATGTACGTAGATTAGTATTTTATTTTCATCAGAAATATATTGTGGTTCTTTACCTTCAGTAATTTTTCTTGTCTTTGTGTATTTGCATGCATCAGATTTTTCCCATTAAATTTAAATGATCTGAAATTAGTGTGTAAATTACCATAATTTTGTTGTTAAAGAATTATGAAAACATACTTTGAAGCTCATCTATGTCTGACCCCATATCACTCTCTGATTAATTGTTAGAAACATTATTGTGTTCCATCTGGTCTATAAAAATGAAAGCCACAACATGTATTTTATTACTTTTTTTCCTGACCCATTACTCAGTGTGAAACATTGTCCTTCTTTCTATTTTGTGTTATTTATAATAATGATCATTCAAAATCCATTTAATACTTATTCTAATCATGTCCTTCTTTATTTCCAACTGTTACAAATAAAATTGTAGTTACATAAACTGAAACTTTTTAGTAGATTATCTTTAAAACAGGTTGCAGAAAATGAGAAATAAAATAGGTAATATGAAGGAGGAAGAACTGAATATTTATGAGGAAAATATGGTGTTAAAAAGTGATAAGTTACTTTAAGTTGATATTTTAAATAATCAGGGTTTTTTTTTCCTTTTTTCTCTGGAACCTAACAAGTTTTTTTAGGCAAAAAAGTGACTTAAGAGTTTATTTCAGTTATTGAAAACAAAGAATAGTATTTCCCTGTATTGATTCCCCTATCTCCTATCTTCTCATTTATCTTAGCAGGGTGATGGAGAAAAACAATGAAACGTCTGGGGGAGATTTTATTTTGCTCGGATTCTCAGACCAGCCACAATTAGAGGTAGTCCTTTTTGTGGTTGTCTTGGTATCCTATCTTCTGACCCTCATGGGTAACACAGCCATCATACTGCTTTGCATTGTGGACTCAAAACTCCATACACCTATGTATTTCTTTCTCACAAATCTCTCCTTTCTTGACCTTTGCTTCACTACTAGTGTTGTTCCTCAGCTATTGTGGAATCTAAAGGGACCAGCTAAGACCATCACACGTGTTGGCTGTATCATACAACTTTATGTATCTCTATCTTTGGGTACTACTGAATGTGTACTCCTTACTATCATGGCACTTGATCGCTACGTGGCTGTCTGCAAACCTCTCAATTATACTACTATCATGCACCCAGCATTCTGCAAGTCCTTAGCAGGAATAGCATGGCTAAGTGGAGTAGGAAACACTCTCATCCAGAGCACCATCATCCTTCAACTTCCCAGATGTGGGCATCATCGCCTTCACCACTTCTTGTGTGAGATTCCTGCTATGATCAAGCTTGCATGTGTTGACATCCGTGCAAATGAAGTCCAGCTTTTTGTGGGCACATTAGTGTTGCTCCTTCTTCCCATGGCACTGATCTTAGTCTCTTATGGACTCATTGTTCAAGCAGTGATAAAAATTAAATCAGTCCAAGCATGGCGGAAGGCCCTAGGGACCTGTGGCTCCCATTTAATAGTGGTGTCTCTTTTTTTTGGAACCAGTTCTGCTATATACATACAACCAAAGAGATCTTATGGCCACAGCCAAGGCAAGTTCCTCACACTGTTTTACACCGTTGTGACACCCACACTCAACCCCCTTATATATACTCTGAGGAACAAAGATGTGAAAGGAGCCCTGAAGAGATTGCTGAGAAAAGAACAAAATTTATGAAAACAAAACAAAAACTATGACGCTAACAACTTCAAAGAAATAATAATTTCCTGTGTTGTATAATTATTTAAGATATATGTTGTTTTCACTGTTGGGTGCCCTGGAGTTAACTATGTCTCATATTCACGCTGTAAAGAAGAGTAGAAACCTCTCCCTGTCCTGTCCCAATGTCATGGCATCCATCATGTTCTCACTTATACTGTTACATTTACTGTGTCATTCCATCTCTTTGACATAGATTTCTCTTTTGGGCAGACTTTTCCCTTCCACAGCATAATGTCCTTTTTTCAAAGACTGGCTTGTCTTGATAACATACCCAAAGCACGTTAGACAAAGTTTCACCATTCTTGCCTATAAAGTGGACCCTGGTTGTACCTCCTCCACAGACTTATTTGTCCTTTTGGTAGTCCCTGAGATGGTCAATACTTTTTTTACCTATACCGCAGTTTAAAGTCATTCATTCTTCTTCATCCATGTTCATTATACAGCGTTCAGATTCATACAAAGCAGTTGAAAATACACTGGATCAGGTGTCCCTTAGTTTCTATATAACATTAAATAACTACTTCCAAATATATAGTATGTGTGCTGCTTACCTCTGTGGCCATATCTACCTATGGGTAATATAGTATGGAAAATGAAAATAATTTCTATTTATCACACATTACTCACAGAACTTTATGTGTATGTTTGTGTTTGTGTGAGAGAGATGACAAAAGGTAGAGAGAAAACCAAATTAACAACTTACTTTTGTTCTTGTTATGTGCCATCAAGTCGACTGTGAAGTGAACTTATATACAACAGCCTTAAACCCTGCTCTATCCTGTGCCAATCTTATTGTCTCTGACACACCTACCTCTGTTACCCCAGTCACTGAATCAATCCATCTCTTCAGGGTTTTCCTCTCCTGCACTCTTCCTCTACCCACCCAAGCTTGGCATCTCTCTGCAAGGATTGGTCCTTCCTTGTAACATGTCCAAAGTATGTCAGACAAAGCTTCAGAATCCTTGCCTCCCAGGAGCATCCTGTTCTCACCATCTCTAGGACAAATTTGTTTGTTTTCATAGCAGTCCGTGGTATGTTCAATACTCTTCTTCAGCAGCACAGCTCAAAGGTATCAATTCTCCTTCTATCATCCTTAGTTACATTGTTGCTGTTGTTAAGTGTTGTTGAGTCATAGACAACTCATAGCCACACTATGAATGAAAGACCTGAACAATTGTATAACTTTCATTCTTTCTCCAGGTTCATTGGGTTTCAGAGGCAAGGTATTTCTGAAATAGATGCCACTCCTGCTTCCAAGCTTGTTTTAATTGGGGAGCTCCACAAAACACTGTCCACCCTGGGTAACCATTATTGCATTTTACACGTCAGTTTTACGACATATTAAAAATAAGCTCAAAACTAGAATGCTGTTTTATTATGTGTTGTAGTTAATAGAAGCTGGAAGGGGTATATGTACCTTGAAATATGTATTTTCTAAAACAATGGGTGAAAATATGTGAAATAAATGGATAATCAAGAAGACAAAATAAAAATGGAAAATTAAACCCAAAGAAATATAAGGAAAGAAATAATAAAAATAATTATAGGATAAATAGAAAATGGCATTCAAATGGGAGGATAAATAAGACACAAAATATATTGTTAGAAGAAAAAATAAAATGGTAAATCCTTTGGAGATATATCAAGGGAAAAATAAGAGGAAGAATGCAAAATAAATCAGTATCAGTAATGAAATTGGAATTATATATATTCTAAGTAGAGGAAAATTATATTAAGCATTATTAATAATTTTTACACAATTTGTAAAAGAACCACATTTCTTTTTTGGAAATGTAAGGAAAGGATTTGTATGTAAATGGTGAATTTATGCAAACTCATGATATGCACAAGCCAAATTCTTTGTGGGAATCTGGAAGAAAGGAAAGATATGAACAAACCAGAGTGGGGAGATATGTGCATGTTATTGAAAGATATTTTGTAAAACAGATATCCTGTGGTTGGAATTTACTGAGGTTTTCCCAGGAAATCAATTCAAGAATGATTACAAAAATTTTTTT